CATCCAAAAGATCCAGGGCTTGCATCTTCGTCAAAAGGAAGATAGCGGCCCTGAAACTCAATGAATTCTGCACAAGTGACCTCTCAGTGGTTAAGGTGGAACTTAACCTCGGAGGGAATACGTCAGAGCTGGTCGACTGCTCGGCGTACCTTCCGTACGACTCAGTGGACCCTCCGCCTACAAGGGAACTCGGAGTACTGATTGACCACTGTGCTGCCAACCGACGCACTACCTGCAATTGCCAAGCTAAGGAAGGTCTTCCCCACAGGCCCAGCACCGGGGTTGGATCGCATCAGACTACCGAATGGGAGTATGACGAACAACCACAAAGAAACTCTAGAACATCTGATTCAAATACACTTCCCGGGCTCAGTAGCAGGTGGTCGGGAGCGGCGGCCTAAAGTTGCTGCGTGCACCGACCACGCTACAGCGGACTGGGGAATAGCTGAAAATGTGATCAACACGGACAGGGTAAATTGGCTCCTTTAAGAGATTCAAAAGCCCAGGCACAGACGGGATCTTCCCGGCACTCCTTCAGGAGGGCGGAGAGGACCTACACAGACGCCTGGGCCAAATCTTCTAGCAAAGGGCTATATACCCAAACCCTGGAGATACTCCAAACTAGTGTTCATACCGAAACCAGGGAAGGACAACTACGACTCGGCAAAGGCACACAGGCCTGTCGGCCTCACCTCATTCCTACTCAAAAGGCTGGCGAGACTAGTTGACAGGCACATTAGAGAGGACGCTCTGATCAGCAGACCACTGCACCCCTCTCAACATGCCTATTAAAACGGCAAGTCCACCGAGACGGCACTTCACAACCTGGTGGGCTTTATTGAAGAAGCACTGTCGAACGGTGAATCTGCCCTCTGCATCTTCCTTGCCATACAGGAGGCTGCGAGGAGACACAACATCGAGGATTCCATCGTAAGATGGATCCACAATATGCTGGTAAACAGAACAGCAATAGCAAGCCTAGGTGAGGAAAAGGTCAGGGCCGATGTCGTGAGGGGTTGCCCACAAGGAGGAGTCCTATCCCCCCTAATGTGGACCCTCGTGGTGGACGAACTCATACGGATACTCACGTTAGAAGGCTTTGAAGTACAGGGATACGCCGACGACCTTTCTATCATAGTTAGGGGCAGACACTCCCTGGAATTGGCGAGGAGATTGCAAAAGGCAATCACACTCGTTGAAACGTGGTGTCAATCACACTCACTCACGGTCAACCCGAGCAAAACGGAGTTGGTCCTATTCACAAGGAGAAGACGCTTTTATTTCAAGGCTCCTCGCCTTTTTGGGACATAACTCCAACTCACAGATGAGGTAAAATATTTAGGTGTAATACTAGATAAGAGACTCGCCTGGAAAAGTCATGTGGACAAGCAGACGCGGAAAACAATTAGCACCTACTGGGCCTGTCGCAGAATGTTTGGACCCACCTGGGGACTCAAACCAAGGGTGGTAAGGTGGATCTACCAAGCCATCCTTGAACCTATTGTAATGTACGCCTCAATTGTGTGGTGGACCTCCAGAAGAGGGGAGCATATAGAAGGACCATCGCGAGAATCTACCGAATGGCGTTGTTGGGGATAACAGGTGCGCTCCCCACCACGCCAACTATGGCGATGGGTACACTGCTTGATATCAAGCCGCCTCACCTAATGGTGATCGCGGCGGCCTGGAGAGCAGCCATCCACCGACACCAGGCCGGAGAATGGTCACCATCGCACAGCGTGCACACCACGATCCTCACGGAGGTGGAATCGGAGTCGATTGTGACCCAAGGTGGTGACCATTGTAAGACAGTGTACCTCTTCAGCCACAACTATGAAATTATATATCCCAACAGGGAGGAATGGCTGGACGACCCTAACAGTATTCTGGCTCCGGGGGGGGGGGGGGGGGCTGGTCTGGTTCACAGACGGCTCCAAAACCAGATCCGGAACCGGAGCCGGGATATCGGGAGTAAGCCCAAGGATCGATATGCCCTACAAGCTGGGCCACCTCGCAACAATCTTCCAAGCAGAAGTGTTCGCCATCTGGGCCTGTGCCAACTATAACCTGGACAGGGCTCACTTTGGCAAGCACATCTTCATTTGCAGCGACAGCCGTGCTGCGCTTAGTGCCCTCCACAAAGTGGAAATCGGGTCTAAGCTAGTCAAGGACTGCGCATTGACCCTGAGACGGCTATATCTGAACAACAAAGTCAAACTGCTGCGGGTACCAGGTCACGCTGGCATCACAGGTAACGAGAGGGCTAATGAGCTGACGCGACTGGGGGCGATAAGCATTCAGCCATGCCCCACGTACCCCATTGGTGTCTCAACCTGTGCGCGGAGGGGCCTGGCCAAAGAATGGTTGAACCAGGAATTTACCAGGCTCTGGCGCAACGCAAACGGTATGGGACACACGAGGGCCCTCTTTGAGGGACCGTCGCAGAAGCTAGGTGACACTCTAATCCACCTGGACAGGGCGCAGCTGCGCATGCTCGTGAAACTAGTGACAGGTCACTGGTACACGAGGAAATACCTTGCACGCATGGGACTCACCGGTGAGGCGGTATGCCTTAGATCTGAGCAGGAGGATGAGACGCACCTCCACGTGCTCTTAACATGTAGGGAACTAAGGGCCCTAAGGAGATCAATCCTGGGACCTCGGAGCCCTTATCGCTAAGCATTTCGGCTGACCTTATGTCGGTGCTTCTGCATTTTGCAAAAGATGCCCAGCTGCTAAGGCACAGCCAGTAAGGAGGCTACCTCATGGCCCGGGTACAATGGTCCTTAAGGACTGAGGGCCCGGATAGCCTCAACAATCAGTAATAATAATAATAATAAAATGTAGCAAGAGGTTTCATTAATAATAATTGTTACGCAGTTGTATAAACAAAATATAGACTATTTTACGCCTTTTAACACATTTTGAAGTCGGTTGTACTTTTTGTTACAAATTATTTTATTTTTGGATTTATTTTAAATATATCAATATTGTTATATATCACTATACATATTATTCAGTAGAATAAATAAAAGTTTCTTAATTCTTAGATATAGTGTTTTGAATCCAATCAATGAAGGAGGAGGCCTTGGTGTAGACAGATGGTGCACCGATTGTACCGCATGGGACGATTCCCCAGGACACGATACCTATGAGCTCGTTGTTGAGGACCAATGGACCACCAGAGTCACCCTGAAACCACGATTGTGATAATTAATAAAACGGTACTAGTTAGATCGGTCAGAATTGTACGATTTCTTACGCTGCATGCCGAGTAGCCACCAGTTAGAGGACCAGTGCAAACATTGGTTTCGTGCAATGGAGATGGGCCGACAAGATATTCCACAGCTCTTTTGCAGGTGGCAAGGTCGATCAAAGGTAACTTGGCGGTTTGAAGTCTGTCAGGCATGATTGGATTGTTACTCCTCGAAGTTGATCCCCAACCTGTCAATGTAGCTGTTCCGCTTGGTGAGCTACCTGCTCTTGGTAGGCTCACTGCCTTGACTACGCTGCTCATCATCAGGGGTTTGGACAATTTCAACAAAGCGATGTCATAGGGAGCTACGTTTCTAAAATTTTCGATTAACAAAATTAGAGAATAGGCTTGAAATTTTAATGCAATGAAATTATAGCGTTTGAAGTCCAGTCTACCCTCTTACCCAACGTATTGTGGATGAACGAAGGACTTCTCAACTATGATTACTTGTTCGGAATTTTCTACTGTGTTCAAGCTATGTTTTCCACCTTTAACCACGAAGTTACCATATGACGGTACAGCAAGGACACAGTGTCCAGCTGTAACGATCCATTGGCTATTTATGATAGATCCACCGCAGAAGTGTTGGAGGGATGTGATACCCCACTGAAGAGTGACTTGCCATGGAGCGGAACCTCGTGGAGCTTCCGATCCTCCAACGATACGACTGCCCAAAAATGGCGTGGGGATCCCAAGGTAGGGCTTTGCTGTTGAGAAAGAAGAACAGTGTTAAATTTAAAGTGTCGTTTGAGCAATGTGACAATGAAATCCTAATTTAATATTGTATATTGTATATTATTTTAGATGGTAATATTAATAAAAATTCACTTACTGGCTGCAGCCACTGCAAGAAGGGCAACAAGGATGATAAACTTCGAAGACATTTCGATGGTTTGATACATTTCGATGCTGTTGGATCTTAAATAGGAGTCGCTCTTCCTGATACCGATAACGATGGCGTATCGACAAAGGTAGCTTTTAATCGCTGTAAAAAACAGCGGTACTTGTTAGATTAAAATGATTTCAGCATGTCCAGAGATTTCATTCATTTTCATGATCGATGTGCCTGTTTTATCTGTTGAATATTAAATTGCGAAACTTACAATTTCCTGAACACTCCGACTATCAAAAATTTTAATTAAAAGGTGATCGTTGGGAGAATTATGTTTTGGACATTTCATAATGTATGCCGTGTAATTATTAATATTCAAATTGGAATAAAAGATTATATATCAAAATTACGAACATGTGACATTTTAAATGTGTTACATCCCTAAAATAACAATAACAATTTTCTACTACAATTGTAGCGTAATGATTAATTAAGATTATCTATATTGACATAGCATATGTATCAATAATATTGAAATACTATTTTAATTTTATTTGTTTATTTCGGAAGGTCTAACAAAAAGTAACAACGCAGTTATACATTATCTTTAATTATTCATTCTTTTCTTAGAATTTTTAAGCTGATAACGTGATATTGTTGTCATTATTGCTTCCAGTTTTTCAATTTTTAGATATAATCTGTTTGTATTGATTTGTTTTAATCGATACGATTGTAACCTTTTGATTGTGATATGAGCAGCCGCAATCCATCATGTCTGTCCCGCCATTGATAAATTATATTTGCTTGCTACGAAAAATTATCAATATCTGGAGTTTATCGAATTGTACTTGCAATTATTTTCGCACGCTACGTGAGAAGAGGAGTAGGTAATGGTGATATAAGGAACATACGTGTTGGAATTATTATTGTTTCTTTATTTGCCTATATACTATTTTTCTATTGACTTGTCACAAATGTACTGCGGTAAGTATTACTGCAGTAGAAGTGATAGCGAATTTATTCAGGAAAGAAATTGTAATTGTAGTAGCCGAAGAGTGTTTGCGTGGCATTCATTCCATGTTCTGATGGATCCAGTCAACATAGGAGGCGACACTGGTATATACAGAGGGCATGCGGCTAGATCCACATGGCATCATTGCCCTTGAGACAATACCAACTTGGACAGCTTGAGCTCCACTGCTTTGGGCAAGTGGGCCACCAGAGTCACCCTGCAGACAAGACAGAAATAAACGCATATTGAAAGAAAAAAGAAATTAATATTAATAAATGTGTGTGCTAAATTCCTTTTCTCTTCATATCTTGAAAAAATTCCTTTTTCTATCAATTTTCTTCTTTCCAAAAAAAACCTTGAATCTACCTACGGAGCAGGCAGACACTTCCCTGCCAGCAGTTCCACTGCAGACTTGAGTGCGGAAAAGTTCAAGTTGTTGGTCAACGGTTAGCTGGGATGTCAGTTCCTTCAAGCATTCTTCGTTGCTCAGGATTGGTACAACAGCCTTCTGGAGTTGGGCGGATGCTCTTGGATGTTAAACCCCATCCACTGAGAATAGCCTGTCCACTTTGTTTCTGTCCTTGTGCGGGCAGCTTGACGGACTGTACGTTGCTGTTGAATTTCAGGGGTTCTCCAATTTCAAATTGGACGATCCAAGAGCAACACCTCTGCAAATTAATTGAAAAAAGGAAATAAGTCAATGGGACGTGAAATTTTGTTTAGCTTATCTCATTGTGTTTGCGTAGGGAATAGAGAATGCCCAACTGAGATTGTGGATTATCGAACACATAAGAGATCAACGAGGCTGATCTAGTTTTTAATTTCAATTTCGAGGTTTTCGTTACGCATTTTGTGAATTTTTTGAAGAGTAATGGAGAGAGGAAAAATTCATATATGGAAAATAATATTTGGAATATTACAAAAATTTAGAAAACGTAATTTCAATGGTTCACTTTCCAGGAGTAAATAACCATCCTTAACAAAATACCGTTCGTAGAAATAGCAAAACTTTTTTCTGTATAAACTATTGAATTTGAGAAAATATGAAATGAATAAACAGGGAAATATTCGAGATCTATGAATTGCTCGTTCTGTGCTATGTAACAGATGTGAAAAATTCAGGCGCAAAAAATGCAAGAGGCAATCAATATCGAACGGTGCGGCGCAACAAGTGAGCGGTATATTTTCCGGTAGTGACGCAATTACGCTAAAGGTAGTTTTACAGGGTTTCGTGTGTGTTTCTTCGATCAGATTCGAAACCAAGGAACTAGGTCAAATTCGATAACACTCTAATTTCATGAATTACTGTTTCAAACAATATATTTTAAGAATCGTTACACATGCTTTTTTCTAATCTTCTAATCTAGTTACTGTTTTGTAACAAAAAATACATCCCAATAAATTATTTTTATAATGTTGTAGTAAAAATATTTTTAATATTTTTAATACATACTTTAATTGGAATACTTGTTTGAAAATATAGAAAAATATTTATTTTTTCAATTTTCTTATAGGGAAATAATTTATATTTATAGAAAAATATTCTACTTGTTTAATAATAAAAATATTATAAATGATGAAAACACTTAAAATATTATTATATTAATTTAAAACACATATTTATGTTTATCTTTGGTCATTAATTTGAATCTAGAAAACAAGTGTATCATTTAAGATAGATATTAAAAAACATTATTGCAAGGTTAAAAAGGAGATTACGTAATACGTAAAATTAGTAAGAATATTTATAACACATATTCGTTTATTATTACTGATATTGGAAATATAAAATAAATTGATACTCCTGTTTATTAATGTTTATATGCTTATTTACCTTGTTATTCTGTTAAATATAAAAGAAATAATTAACAGAACAAAATTTTTTATAATAATACAATAATGAATATCCTGTTTGATCTTTACTTTGAGTTATACTTTATATCAATTTTGCAATTTTTCTATTGTTGATGAATAAGGGTACGTTTATGTTGGAGCGTCGATAAACGATAAGAGCGTCGATTATAGCTGCGAAAAAATATCTCTGGTTTGTTTATAGTAGAGCTCTGATAATAAGACAACATCACATTGCTATGATCGACGCTCTTATCGTTTATCGACGCTCCAACATAAACGTACCCTTAGTTAATCAACAAATACAATAATTATTTACACATAACATGGTTAATGCATAAATGATAAAACCATTGATGGCTCCAAATTTATCACAGGAACAGGATGCACGGTGATTATACCATCTACCCACAAAATAAAACTTCCGGAATAGGTATACATACATACCATTATACATTGGTACATCAGAATTAAAAAATATCTGCCTCAACTGATATATTATCATCTATCAGAAACCTTTCACCCGCTGATGACCCCATTCTTAAACAAAAATGTTTATAAACTTTTAGAGATTTAATAATAATACAATATTAATAATAGCTTTCAGGGGACACATTTTGCCTTACATTAAATCTACCGGAAAATTCCGTCCGCTTTATGACTATTGAGATTTTTCGAGTAGTTCAGGAATAATAATTTTGTATGTATTATATGCTTGCTATGGGATTTACCTCCTTAATCATCGATGTAACTAGGATCTTTTCTAGGGTGGGCCAGATCACTTAGAAATGTAAAAATTCTGGGATTTTAGAATTTTGAAAGATTCGAATTCTGAAACTTAAATTTTGGAGTATTGGAATTCTATAATTTGAAAATTTGGAAGTTTCAAAATTTTGGAATATTAGAATTCTATAATTTGAAAGTGCTAAAACATTGACAGTTTTGAATATTGGAATTCTAAAATTCTGGGATTTTTAAAATTTGTAAATTATGGAATTTTGAAAATCTAGAGTTCTTACTATCTGAATGTATAAAAATAAACAGTGGTATATTTATTCCTCAATTACATTCCAACCACTAAACTAATCACTTAAAAATTAATACAAGAGTAGATTAGAACATAGCTTATTCATTATTCCTTAATCCACTGTGAATTAATTAACGTTCACATTATTAAAAAATTTCGAAGATCATTTTTAGATATACTATGTTTCGTTCTTTTATTCCAGAAGTAGTATCTTAATATTATACTCTAAATTTCGTATTTATTATACGTTGAATAATTATTTGACATACATCACAATTATATTGTTTGTTAACATTTGAAACACCTTTGCATAAATCACATTTTTAGTTTTGTTATCATCGGATATTCAGAAGAATTGATTTCTTTTTTCAAATATTTCAGAGATATCCAGAAAATTATTGTCCAATTAATTATTCTTTTACAAATGACAATTCTTTTCGCTCTTACAAAATTAATACCTATAACTATCAATTAAATCAATACTTTTAATTAACAAAAATCTTGAATGTTACTAAAATTAATAAGAATAAACACATCATGTTAAATAATTGAAAAACTGAATAATATTCTTTTGAAAGATTCCCGAAAATTGCCTTTTTTAATCATCATCATGCCATGGAGACAGAAAGTAATATTATTTTCAAAAGTAGTGGGGTTATGCAATGAAAAATAAGATTTGGTATGATGGAATAATACTGAAAGAGCCAATATTTGCTAGGCGACCGAGATAAACAGAAATACACGAACAGCAGCCAAAACGGTTCCAAGATCCGATCCTAACATCGAGTCGATCGTCGTTGCCAAATTTCTTTACGCCATATACTCCCTCGCTAATTTTAGGTGGCTCCTTGAATGATGCTCCAAGGTACACGTACGTAGCCGTCAAGGTGGAACGAGACGAGTGGCAAAAGTTAAAAGAGGAGAGAACAGAGCGGAGAGAAAACCTCGGTCGTCCGTCTTTGCCGTTGGCTCTCGCCCTCGCCAATCTTGCCTGCTTGCCTTTTCGAATGTCCACAATCGGCCTCTGCCGTTAGGTCGACGACCTCGAAGCGATGCACGCGAGAGAAGGACACATGGGAAATGATAGGAAAACTAAACGTGGCCTACCGTTCGCTGCGAGCCCTTCGAAACTGACCTCTCAACTAATCAACGTTTCCAATCTTATAATCCTTGCACTACCAAAGTAGTTTTTTTGCAGCACAAATCACAAACGTAGGGTATTTTGTGTGTCTACCTTGTTACAGGATTACTAAAAAATATCGTAGAATCTGAAATTCACAAATTCTTCTCAAATGAAGAAAATAAAAAGAAAATTCATTTACCATTTTGTATTCTACGGCTTCGTTTTTGAAACATAAGCAAGTGGAAAGTGGAATATCAATTTCGAACAGCTGACAGCTGGGCAGACAGCCCTTCTCGTATTGTCTCGGACCGGTGTCCAAACAGAGAGACGCGTGAACGACGAAAAGCTACAGGAATTTAATTTCTTATTCTAGAAAATGTTTTAATATGAAACTAAAAAGATTTTGTACGTTTTGTTGATGGTTATAAAAGGTCACTTCTGGTAGATTCGATATGATTTTAAATAGTTTTGTATCCATTTACTGGCATTTCTGTCTATTGACATCAGTAGGTAGGGGAGAGAATGGGCTTGCTTCGCCCCAAGATGTGAACTGGCCCTCTAGTCATTCTGAAATTCTAAGGTTCTATGATTTTTAGGTTTCAGAATTATTTAATTCTAAAATTTTTAAATTTCAAAATTCAAGCATTCTAGATTTACAGGATTCTAAAGCTCTGAAACACTAATATTCCAAAACTCTAAAATTCTACAATTCCAAATGCTTAAAACTTCAAAACTCTAAAACTCTAAAACTCTAAAACTCTAAAACTCTAAAACTCTAAAACTTTAAAACTCTAAAACTCGAAATCTCTATGTGCCTAAATTCGAAAACTCTAGAGGTCTAGAACTCTAAAATTCTACAATTCCAAATGCTTAAAACTTTAAAACTCTAAAATTCTAAAGCTCTAAAACTCGAAAACTCGAAAACTCGAAAACTCGATAGCTCTATGTGCCTAAATTCGATAACTCTAAAGATCTAGAACTCTAAAATTTTTAAATTCAAAAATTCTAAAATCCTTCCGTAAAATTATATGGTTCACCTGAAAAAAAATCTTAATTGTGCTAATATTTTTGCATACCATATAAAAACAAAGGAAGTAATTTTTTTTGACGAAAGAAGAACGAAAGGAAAACTTATCATAATACAAAATGAAATTATTAATGCAACCTTCTGTTTTTTAAATTTATGAAGATCTTTTACCTTCTTTAGCGTTTGAAACGTCCCATTAATATTTGACGTTTGATCAAGATGCAACGAGAAACTGCTGCTACATGCTTCTTCGGGTTTGACGAAAGCTTTTGACTCTTGCCCCTTGTTAACGCGTTCATCGAGATACACCCACTGAAAAATCACCGTGGTATAAGTCAGAAGAATTTCAATCAGATGAGTTCTTGTCTGGTTTCCGCACAAAACTTTCCACGTTTACATGACATTTTGTTCGCAGCATTTCTTTCACCATTGTGTTGTTATGATGAAAGTGCAGGTTGACTCGATCGTGAAACAATCTTCGTTACACAGTAAACTTTATTCTTGGGTATTTTTAACTTTACCTGAAGAGTATTATAAAAATAGTAATTAAAAAAAGAGAAATTTGTACAAAATCAAAATGTATAATTATGTAGTATATAATTTTATGTAATAATAGTGTAATCATCTTTAGAAGTCTCAATAAAATAAAGAAGTACGATTATTTCGTTTTATTTCATCTAAATTTTCTATAAAAATAGATATACAATTTCTTATGCGAGAGTTGTAATTGAAATTGTTTAATTTTTTCGACAGATAAAAATGTGGGGTTATTATTATTATGCTTTTTCTTTATTTTAATTGGAGATTTATTTTTAAACAGTAATAGTAACTCCAATTATTAAAATAATCAATATTGTTATCATATTTTCACGCCACTTTCAAAATTCATTAAAGCGCGGGAAAATATTGAAATTTAAACTAATGGTAAGGAAGGAGTAATGCTAAAGGTACTGAATTAATTTGTACACCTAATAGTAACACAAAATTATTTTATTTAATAATTATTATTTATATGTTTATATGCGTCAAGAAACGGAAATCCATGTAATCCCAGAGGGAATCATTACAATAAATATATATAGTACTACAAAATTAGTAGAGAGTTAATAACATGAAATAGTAAAATTCAAAACAGCTTTTATTTGATATGTATAAAATAATTTGTATAAAAAAGAAAGAGATAGTACTCACATGAATTTAAATAATGCTTTCAAAAAAATACCAATCTGGACAGCGAATTCTATTTTATCTTTATTCAAAATAATTATTGGAAATCAGTAATAAAATTTTCAATTTTATTTCAAATACTTATTGGAAATTTATTATGTTGCAATAAATTCAACTGATATTTATTTTTGAGCTTCAGTTAAAAATCTACCGTAGATATATATGTATATATCTCCTAAAGGGTGGGTCAAAGTTAAGTTTTTTAGTGGAGATATAAAATATAAATTTTCGCAATATAAAATATGTTGCAAACCTATTTTTTATTACTTAACGTGTAAAAAATCAAACAAGGAAATTTCTAAATAATAATAAATAATAAATATTCAGTTCTGATAGCAAGAATAGTTCTTTCTTTTTTAATATTCTTTATAAATTCCTTAGGCGTTCAATATTAGATACTATTTTCAGGAATCTCTATTTTGACATTTCTTACTATAATTTTTCAAAATTTAAACATTTATACAGAAATATCTATTAATTCTATCATATTTTAATATTATTTTCATTCAATAAAAATTGGACGATCCATATTACATGCAGTTATCATTCATAAAAAAATGATAAAATTATACATATTTAAATTAAATCTATGTATATATACATTTCCAGGTTAAAAAGAATCTTTTTATTTATGTCCTACTTTTTCCGGACACGCTTTTTCTGCCGGAAGTCGCGTGCACGGGTTTCAAGAACATCAATAAAGGCTGACTGAATTTATTACACGCGAGCAAGATGAACGGAGATTTCTACCGGTATCTGTAGAAAAATATTCGAACCCGTCACGCGTTTGACGCAGGAAATCAGTCGATTAATTAACTTTACAATAAAACACAACAATGTTTGAAACTCGTGTCGCGTCCCTCGTTATTAACACGCTGGTGTGCCGGTCTACAGTCATCATCGATATCCGGCGACTATTTTTCAAATCCTATAAATAAAGAATGTAACAACAAACTCGGACAAATTTTAAACCGATGTTACCACGTAAATGTCTTGGTAAAAAATGGTTACACGCACGAGATACATTTCTTAACTCAGAATATAGAACAGTCATTCTAATAATATCTACGTATAATATACAACATTAATTCTCGAGTGTACAACATTAATTGTGTATTAATGTCGAAATCATAATGATCTTGGAGAATAGTTAATATTCATTTACAACTCCAAATAATTTTAGAGAAAATAACAATGTACATGTATTTGAACCTTTAATATTCAATACGTGTAGTTTTAGTATCTCAAAAATGTAACATTAAAAAAAAATGCAAATTGTAAGTTTAAAGATGTTTTGTACTTACAAGGGACATTACCCAAACGACACACGCCGATTTTGATGCCCTTTAAGTATGATATAGAACTCAAAAAAATATTTGACACGTATTTTTTTTTATCGACAATCGTCCATGCTGAAAGGGTGAAGAAAATGACAAAAATAGGTTATTTTCAATATATTTTTTAAACAAATAAATTTATCAAAAAGGTGGCTACATAGAAAAATTTGCTGTTCAAAAACACACAAATTCCATTTTGAATTTTTCGCCTACACCTAATAGTTCCTGAGATATTCAAGAAAATGTTTCGCAACCCCAACTTTGAGGGCTATTTTCACCCCTTCAGCATGGACGATTGCCGATAAAAAAATACTCGTCAAATATTTTTTTGAGTTCTATATCATACTCAAAGGGCATCAAAATCGGCGTGTGTCGATTGGATAATGTCCCTTGTTAATCTTCGATCAGAGGACCTTGGAGAAAGCCCTAATTTCAATTTAATTTTATATTTCATATTTGCATTTCATTTTTTAAATTTCACACTGCTCCTTTAAAATTTATTCTTCCAATATATGGAACTTTTTTATTTAAAAATTATACATTTAACTTTAATTAAATACGTAATATTAATTCAGTTGTTTTTACCATACAATTATTCTGTAAATTTTCCGAATTGAATAAAGTAATATAAACAATAGAATAAAAGATTAATTAAAAGTAATAAATAATTTTTCATTCGAATAAATTTTTATTTAAGTAAAAAATTATTCGCCATTGTTTAAAAACTTTGTTTTATTCTGATATAAATTCTGAAATATTCTTTCGTAAGTACAATGCAATATAAAATGCACTATACAATAGAACAGAAAGACACGTGAGTGAAAGAATTAACGATGACACAATAATCGAGGGAATCGGCGGGAATTCGTTGATTCGAGGCTCGTTAGGGCGACGCAATCGATGGCTGATCGCTAATGAGACAGCGTTTAGAGGCGGCCGGTTAATAGAAATCAACCACGTATCTACCACACTTTAATTCGTTCTACACTGGTGCACGACCCGTCCTGTCGGTTACTGCGCCCACGTTCCCTGCAACCGGATGTGTAAAGCGCACCGGCCAGCCGCGGAACGTGACTTGTTCGCGACATGTCAGAAACTCCGTGAGCCTCGATCTAAAGTACCCTTTCCTTTGCGTTGCCATCGCAATCGCCGTCGCGCGAACCAAGGAAACGAATAATTACGGATTCGTGTCTTTCAACACGCGTGATTTTTTTCAACCGGACAGTTTTTTTTTTAACCTGTGACCGTCGCCATACGACTTCCTTCTCAACATTCTTTCCTTATTTACTTGGAATTTTCAAGTGCTAATATTTAAATAATAATAATTTGTCTGTTTGTTACTTCGTGTGATCAGTACAGTTTATATTTGTATACATTCTAAATAGATGTATAGATTTTTGTTCACAGAAAATTACAGAGTGATGAGTTAAAATAAATTTTGTTACCTTTTGTTAATATTTATAATGTAGATATTATAATTTTTTGGAAAATAGTTTCCTATGAAGTGTATAAATTAATTAGGTTCCTTTTCTTTATTTTAACACAGTAATTCCAATTATTAAAATAATCTTTTTCCTTATCATATTTTCGCGCCACTTTCAAAATTCATTAAAACGCGGGAAAATATTCAAATTTGAAATCATGATTGAGAAGGGGTACTGTTGAAGGTATCGAATTAATTTGTACACTTAATATCTACAATAATTTTACATATTTCGCAATAGATCGCAATATGTATTTGTATTTTTACTGGGATATTGTTTTATAGAATCTAGGTAGTCGTTAGTTTGTTGATGTATATTTTTTAATATACATATTTTTTTTTATTAATATTATTAAAAAGAAGAATCGGAGCTATTAAATACAGTTATTACAGATGATAATTATTATAAATATTTTTGTATTATTAATGATTAGTTATTGTAAGTATTTTTGAGAATAAATCTGTTAACGTTCATACAAGTGAGAATTTTGGTATCAACATGTTCAAAGAGAAATTAGACTTACATAATAAAGCATTCAGAAGAATAACCACACTGTCTTATTTCATCTGTATACAAAACTGTAATCAGTTATAAATATTCATCAGTTAATCCATAAACCATTGTAAGGAGAGGGGAGAAAAAGGCGTTTCGTCTCGGGATCGTCTGTCAGACTCGTCAGTGGGGCTGACAACAGACGATCCCTGCACCAGACACTTATCATACCGCAATTTGGAACTTCTATACAGGGTGTTCCAGAAATAGTATTAGTCCTTTAAGGGAGTGGTAGTTGAGATGATTCTGAACAATATTTTCCTTTGCAGAAATGTTGTTTGAAGCTTCGTTTTTGAATTATTAAGGAAAAACACTGGCCAATCAGAGCGCGCATTGCACGCAGACTGAGGGACGAAAGCTGGGCTTGACCTGAGTCCCGAACGAACACTTTCGGTACCCCGCCGTCCCTGAGTCCGCGTGCTATGCGCGTTCTAATTGGCCAGTGGTTTTCCTTAATAATTCAAAAACGAAGCTTCAAACAACATTTTTGAAAAGGAAAATGTTATTCAGAATCATCCCAGCTACCACCTCCATAAAGGACTAACACTCTTTTTGGGATACCCTGTATATTCGAACTGCAGGCCAGGCGACCACTTGCGAGAACACTGTCACCGATCATCTCGCCGCCGCCTAGCGGTTCCCGGCCCGAACTAAAGGCGTCTGAGGAGACGAAACCCTCCCTCCCCCTCCACTAAACGCCTACACCATCTGCAGTACACTCTCGTTATATTGCTACGTGAGCAATTTGATGTTCACATGGATTTTAAAAAGGCCACCCTTCCGCCATCATAGTCTATCAAAATGATACCTACATTTCTATCTCTCCTTTT